GACATGTCTGCCCTGCCCAGCGAGAGCCTCCCCACACGTCAGAGCTCATCTCAGGTCAGGCTGCGGAGACCCAGGCACCACCGTCAGTCTGGAAGCCTCAGGCATCCAGGCTCTGTCTGCGAGATGTGGCAGCAGTGAGCAGGCTCTTCAGAGGGGGCGTGAGAAGGTACCTTCGTGCTGCTCAGCCCCACACTAGAAGCTCCGTTTGGCTCTGTTTTCACCATGAGGACAAATACCCTGCAGGAGAGAGGAGGGCAGAGCCAGGCACAGTGGTAGCCGGGTTCCAGGCCGCAGCAGAGAGGGGCCCAGGACCTGCAGGCAGGGGGCGGGGGTGCTGGCAGGGGCGTGCGAAGGCCGTCCAGAGCAGCAGGTCTGGCCAGTGTCAAAGCTCTGCCTGGGCCACTGCCCTCTTCCGGCTCTGGTCACTGCCCACATCACTCTCTCTTCAGGCGCCCAGACCGATGACCACAACCCCCGGCGCACGGGCCACCGCATCGTGGCGCCTCCCGGCGGCCGCTCCAACATCACGAGCCTCGGCTGAGGGTGGCGAAGAGCCTGGGCTGAGCGGGCCCCCACCTGCCGCGTCGCCGCGTGGCGCGCAGGAGCACAGCCATGTTTCCTGCCGTGAGGAAAAAGCGGTACTAGTGTGGTGTGTTTGCTTGGAAATGCCTTGTCCTGTGTTCACACAGACTCACCTCAGAGCATGGTGCCCACGTCCCTCTAGTGACCCCGGGTGGCCCCGTCTTGTTCTCCCCCCCACTGCCCCATGGCTCCACGATTCTCTGAGCAGTGTGCCCTGTACCCCGTAGCTGTTGTAGAGTAGTCGATGCATGTCCCTGAACTGTGAATGCCCGTCTTTGAGCGTGTCTGACTCCACACACGGAGGACAATGTGGACATGGTGCCAAGACCTCACCCCCACCCGGGGCATCCCCAAGCCCTGACACAAAGCTGTTTACTTGCTGCCCCACCCCACGTGGACCCCAGGAAGAGACCCTCCACCAGCTCCCCCTGGGGTCACCTGGGAGCCCTCAGGAAGGTGGGGGCCGTCGGCTGGCTGCCTCGCTGTCCTACCACTCAGTCCATGTGTCCTTCAGCCAGCCTTGCACCCGCTGAGCCAGACTCCCCCAGAGCCATCTCCCACCTTGTTCAAGGCTGCTAGGGGGAGGGGTGCCCCTGGCAGTCCAAGGCCTGGCCCCTCTGGGGCAGTGGGCAGGACAGCCTGGTTTTTAAAGTTTTGTACAAAGTTTTTCTTTGTAACCACCACCCCATCCCCATTTTTACTTGACAACCGACTTGTTGTGGCTCTTGTTTCTGAACTCAAAGCTTGTTGAAATAAAGAAAACCATTGCTCTCAGACCAGACTGGCAGCCAGAGTCAGCCTCGAGCTGGGCGGGAAGCTGGGACAGGGCCTGCTGGGGGCAGACAGCTGGGGATGGGACTCGGGAGAGAAGGCTTGGCAAGGTGGGGGCGGGGGCTAGGGGGTGAAGATGGTACAGGCCGACCAACGTCTGACACACGGGCTACGCAAGCACTCCGGAGCTTGTGGTCAGGCTGTGCTGCTGCAGGAGGCTGCCCAGAGAAAAACTTGGCACACACACACCATCACCCCACCAGACAGCGTCCCTATCAGGGAAGAATTCCGTCAGCCCTCCCGGCTCAAGGCTGTGGTCAAATGTTAGCTAGAGCCTCTCGGGTCCAGGAAGCAGGGGGGTGATGGGCCTGGGCCGGGGGTGCAGAACCAGGTGGGTCTGAAGTCAGCAGGAACATGGCAGGCCGCATGGACCACCCCTGGAGCCAGATGCAGACTCCAAGCCGCAGGAAGGTGGAGAGCCAGAGAAGGCTCGCCCTCCTCGCTGTCTCTCATAAGAGGCCACCCCCCAGGAGGCTTCAGCAGGCTAAGAGCTCAGTGAGTGGGTGGACTCCACCCTTCCTGCCACCCTGGACCTCGAGGGGACAGAAAAGCCAACAGTCCCAGCACCCCGTGGCCGCAGAGCCCAGCCCTGACTGCTCCTGCAGCAGTTCCTCGTTGGGTCCGAGCCCCCGTGGCCGCCACTGGACAATCTGCCCCCGTGGGAGTCTTGTATTCACTGTCTCTACTTGAGCGAGCAGGGTGCCCCTCTCCGGGGATGGGTCCTCCCTCGGAGTATGTTCAGAATGGGTGGGCTGAGAGCTCCCCATCTGCACGTCTGGGGAGCACTCTGCTTTGCAAACTTCATGGTACTTTCAGCATTCTTCACCAACCCCGTGTCCGTCCCCCTGCCTCCCCACCCCCGTCTCCGTCAGTCACCCTCAGCTGTTTGCTGGGCGCGGGACCATGGACAACCCCGGTGTCCTCAGAGCCCTGCTCCCTGTGCTTGGCTTTCTTGCCCAGGGCAGTGCGTATGATGGGCTCTTGACCGGAACCTCCCTGTGAGTTGCTTGTGGATTCACGTAAAACCAGCCTTCCCGCCCGCCTGGGGCAGTGGCCTTCTTTCCTCCATGGATTGGGTTGTTCTTGCTTTCGTTCTGAGATTCTTGTTTTCTTTATGTCGAGGTGGCATCCATTCTGCAGGCTAAAGCATTTGCTTTGTATCAGCAAGTACCTCAAATCCTCCTTGCTTCCCGCGAGCAAGGGTGTACCTTCTGCACCTCGCAGGTTGCTGCACCACGCTCTTCAGGGAGGCCAGCTGCTTGGATCACAGACTCGCGTGGACATGAGTCGGTCTGGTAGAGAGAAGCCCTGACACAACACTGTTCCTGATCATAGCCCCTCGGCCGGCGTGCCCTGGTCTGTTCTAGCCACAGCCTCCGCTGTGAGGTCGGCGGCCCGCGGCAGAAGGAAGTGCTCCGGGGGCCCTTTCTTCACGGTGCTAGCCATGGTTTGTTGCGAGCCTCGCGGTCGAATGCCTTCGCATTTAAACACAAGGACACATCTTTCTGGTATCCTCCGCTTTCAACCAAGGTTCATCTGACGTCAGCAATGATGTCCCTTGTTCCACGTCCTCTTCCGAATCCAGTCTGAACCTCTGGCAGCTAGCTCCCTGTCAACGCCCTGTTGCGACCATTCTCTAAGTTGTCCTCAGCAAACAGTTACCTGGGTCCATCTGAATGATACTGCTTGACCATGTATGTCCACACTCATGCACCGTTCCCTTGAACGGGCACAGACATGTCTCGGTGGTCTGGTGGCCATCTTGCTGTCCAGGGCTGGTGGGGCTTGTCAGCAGAGCCTTCAGGGCAGCTTGGCTTCACCCTGCAGCACTGCTGCTCCTTGACCTACGTCCCTGCTGCCATCGCCCTGAGGCTGGCACTGTTTGCCCTTTTCACAGATACCACAGGGCTAGGAAGTGGTACGGTCAGGACCTGCGTCCAGAACCCTGGGTCCTTGCTCCTGAGAACGGTCGTCCAGCAGGGTGGAGCTGTAGGCCCATTCCTCGCCAGGTGACTGCCTGCTGCTGGCCACCCTGCAGCGTGCCAGGACACCTCGGCGAAGGCAGGGTTGGCTGTGGCCTCTCTAGGAACAGCCTGGTGCCTGGAAGTGGCCTTGGCCTATGAGCACCTTGGAAGGTAAAGCAGGGAACGGACAGTTAGAAGGAGAACTGGCAACAGCGTCCACCACCCTGGTCTCTGGAGGGCTCGCTCCCCGATGGGACAGCAGCGCCCTACCCTGCCAGCTCGGAGCAGGAGCTGTGGGGCCTGGGTGCCCACAAGCCCTTTCTCTCAGAGCCGTGGGCAGGGCCTCTGTGTTAGTCTGGGTAGACTAGAGAAACAAATCCATGGACACACGTATGTGCATAAGAAAGATTTATATACAAGAGCAATTGAACATTGAGAAAACAGCCCAGCCCAATCTAGATCAAGTCCATAAGTCCAATATTAGCCCATATGTCCGATACCAATCTATCAAGTCCTCTTCAGACTCACGAAACACATGCAGTGACGCCGAATGTAGAAGATCACAGGCCAGTTGGTGGGAAGTCTTGTGGATCCAGTGGCGTTGTAAGCATCCATGCTGGCAGGGGTCTCCACATGACTTCTCCGGCTTCAGAGGTCTGGTTCTATCAGGGTAGGTCCATGTGGTTTGTCAGCTGCAAAGTCTCCCAGGGAGGGGCATAAAGAGAAGTGTCTCCTGACTCCGAGGAGGAAGAAGTACTGGATTTCCCAGAATTCTCAGGAGAAGGTGTGTCAGTCTGGGTACTTTAGAGAAACAAGTCCACAGAAACTCATGTATAAAAGAGTTTTAAATGTAGGTTAAGTGTGCATCAAGAAAACATCCCAACCCAGTGCTGCCCAAACCCACAAGTCCAACATTAACCCATTAACCCTTATGTCCAACACCAGTCCACAAAATCCTCCTCCATCTCACAAAGCAGACGTAACAATGCCGACTGCGGGAGGAAAGCCAAGTCAGTGAACGTGTAAGCATCTCAGCGCTGGCAGGGGTCTCCACACGGCTGCTCCAGCACCCAGGGCTGCATCGGGGTAGGTCCATATGGCTTCTCCTTGGGGATGTCTTGCAAGCTAAGCAGGGAACTGCTAAGGCAGCTGCACCCTGGTGCGACCATCACAAAGCAAGAGACCTGAGAACTAGAAAGGCGAGGCTCACCTAGCCATTTATCCCTCCGCCCTTCAGTTAATCCCACATGTGTTTCTCGGCCAGGTTGGCACAGTAACTAACTGAGAAGGCCATGCCCACACAGAGGCCTCTGATTGACAAGCTAGACTCCACCCCTCCACTCTGAATCCTCAGATGGACGAATGATTGTATCTACCACAGCCTCCCAGCTGGCATCCAGAGGCAGTGCCCTTCCTGGCTGCTGGAAGTGCGTGAAGGCCCCACAGATGCATGCGGTCCGAGTCCTGTCCTGACACCCCGGACCCAGGAGAGGCTATAGCCCCTGCCCAGCCTCGGGGGCCCTCACCCTGTGCAGGTGGAGCTGCTCCTGCCAGATGGACCCAGGTCTCTGGAAATTTCTAGGCATCTCTGCCCTGGCAGACACGGACATGCTGCAAGTTGATCCTGCATGTGGGCATGGGCTCTGTGTGTGAGGACATGTGGACCCTATATGTGTGGACGTGTGTTCTGTGTGTGTGGATGCGTGTGTTCTGTGTGTGTGGACGTGGGCTCTGAGTGTGAGGATGTGTGGGCTCTGAGTGTGAGGA